TAGCAGATTTCCTAAGAGAGGTAAAAGCAATAATTGACTTGAGAAGCGGGAAAATGGTCACAAAGTACGGTTCATTGCCAATACATGAAAGTAGCGAAGTGGCTGAAATAAGGATGGCAACGGACGTCTCGACCAAGAAACCTAACGTTAATGAGTTATGCGCAAAGTATGCGAAACTGTTCACTGGAGATGGGGAGCCGTATGGATTTTGTGACAAAGTAAAGCATGAAATTCCTATAAAGAACGACCGAGTAAATATATTTACAACACGTCGTGTCCCAGTGCATTTAGAGGCCGAGGTAAATCGACAGGTCCAGGAAATGTTGAAGGAAGGGATAATTGAGGAAGCAGACAGCCCGTATAGCTCACCGGTACTCTTGGTAAAGAAACCCAATGGAAAGTATAGATTTTGCGTCGACTTTAGAGAACTGAATAATATAACAGACCTGAAACCGTGCGCAATGCCAACAGTAGTAGAAACATTAGATCGATTACAGAATGCCACGGTGTTTACAGTGCTGGATTTACGGTCAGGTTATTGGCAACTACCTATAAAAGATAGCGATCGCAAAAAGACAGCATTTACTATACGGGATAAACAGTATCAATTTAAAAGAATGCCGTTCGGGTTGGCTGGTTCACCGTACACGTTCAGAAGATTGATGACGCTGCTGCTTAAGAATCTAGATAATGTTGAGGTATATGGCGACGATGTAGTTGTATACAGCCTGACAGAAACAGATCACGTCAAGCATGTGGAAGCGGTCTTAAAGCGAATTGACGAATTTGGGCTTCGAATTAATAAGGAAAAGTCGCAGATAGCGAAAAAAGGCGTCATATTGTTGGGACATAAAGTGGGAAACGGAGAAATAAAGCCATTACCAGAGAAAATTCTTACCATAAAAAATATTGCAGTACCTAATTCGAAAAGGAAGTTGAGACAGTTCCTGGGAAGAGCGGTGTTCAATAGTCGGTTTGTCAAGAATTTCAACGAAATAGCAGCGCCCTTATATAAGTTGCTGAGCAACACCAAGTTTACATGGACTGAGGCTGCCGAACAAACGTTCAACCGAATCAAAAACATGCTAGACGATCATCAGATGACGCTGCGACTGCCTGAACCCGGTAAACTGTTTACAGTGGCCACAGATGCAAGTGATCATGGTATAGGTGCGGTATTGAGTCAGGCTGATAGAGTGGTGGAATACGCAAGTCGCGTTCTCACACCCGCCGAACAGAAGTATTCAACGATCGAGAAGGAATGCCTAGCAATCGTGTGGGCAGTAGAGAAATGGAGACCGTACCTTTTAGGTAGACGATTTCACATCGAGACGGATCATAAGCCCCTACAATGGTTGAAAACAGCAAAAGACCCTCGGGGGAAGTTGGCTCGATGGATGCTACGTCTGCAGGAGTATGATTTCAGCATCGGGCATGTGCCAGGGGAGGAAAATGTAATGGCAGATTATTTGTCAAGACCGGACACCGAAGCCGAACTTCCAGAGATAGCGTGTGCAGTTAACGGCCTAGAGGGAGACCCCCTAGAACTCGTCCGACATCAGAAAGCCGACCCTAACCTTCGGGAGGTAATCAGAGTGATAAAAGAGGGAGAAGATGTTGACAAGAGTAGAACAGATAAAGAATTAACAGTGTTGCTGAGGCAGAAGGAGAGACTGAGAGTGAACGGATACGGAGCCTTGACCTGGCGGGATGATGACGAGAATTGGGTAGCAATAATCCCAAAAGATCTGCGCCAGGAGATGATTCGTGAATGTCACCAGGTAGCGCATACAGGTATTGCACGGACAACTGATTTGCTGCGACAAAGTGCGTACTGGCCAGGTATGGGAGACGATGTTGCACGATATGTATTAGCGTGCCAGCGATGTCAACTAATGAAAGGAGATCGATGCATACGAACGCCATTGCAGTCAATTCCAGTAACAGTAGTCGGTGATTTGTGGTCAGTAGATGTTATGGGACCGTTCCCGCAGACGACAAGTGGTAACCAGTACCTGCTGGTGATGACTGAGCATGCCACACGATGGGTAAATGCCGTGCCGATGGCGGACCAACGTGCAAGGACGGTGACGGAAGCGGTAATGCGGCACATTGTGGCTGACCATGGGATACCAAAGATAATATTAACCGATCAAGGTCCCTGTTTCGAGAGTGATGAGTTCAAGTCCCGTCTAAAGCAGTTAGGTATCAAGAGAGTACGAACAACGCCGTATCATCCACAGACGAATGGGTTAACGGAAAGGAATAACCGAACGCTAAAGGAATGGCTAGCATCTAAAGGGGGTGACTGGGAGAAAGAATTACCATTAATCTTGCTGGCACATCGTGCCTCGGCACAGGGAACAACCAGGAAGTCACCGTTCCAGCTGATGTATGGCAGACGGCCGAGACTACCAACGCATGATAAAACCTGGCCGCAACAACAGAGATGGAATACAACAAGACTGAGAACAGAGCGGAGACAAGCAATCAGGAATGTGAGAGAGAAACAAACATCAGACATGCAGAAGTCAGAACAGGAGAGAAAGAACTGGAGACCGTTTGAAGTGGGAGACCAAGTGAAGTGTAGAGAACGGAAATGTACCACAGGAAGAGGGCCAGGGTCAGGCAAGCTGATCCCGAAGTGGGAGGGACCGTACGTAGTAACCGAGAGGCGCGGCGCAGTGTATACTATCCAGAAAGGGAACAAACAGAAACGCGTGAATGCCAGTGAACTCCAAAGGTGGTTCCAAGTGCGCCAAGAGGGCGAGCCACAAACACTGATGAAGAAGACGGCTGTACGGAGATCAGAAAGACTGCGACGACAGCTTATTAAAAGGGGGGACGAGTGTGGTGCTGTGGTGCGAACTACTTATAAGTAGTATATAGCGTGAGTGTCAACGTAAAGTCTGGTAGCATAATATGGGGGGAAGATCAAGAAAGGAAGAGTCAGAAAACAATGGAATTTGTATGAAACGCATGAAGAGTGACAATGGATTGATGTTTGGCAACAGGAACAGTCCAGTTCCATAGGATGAACTGATCTTTTGCAAATGAACGATTTACGATATGGTTTTCCGATTTTACTGAGTAACTCTGTAATTTTCGTCAAATACAATTCGGTTGCCTCCACCTGTGTTCTCATTCACTACACTAGTACCAATAAATTAAGGTTTGCTGCAAGTAGTAGCAAATGTTATATATTTCTTAACAATTATTCTACACTATTTAATTTTACTCTAGGCTACTCTTTTTACCAGATGAACTAACTATCAGTACGGTTGTATATCTTAAGGAAATGAAATCGTCTAGGAAGTAAATTTTATTCACTGACTCAATGGGCTTCATCTTTCGTCAACATAATCTTTGTCTAGTCTTTACAGCTGAATGAATTCTATCATTCAATTTGTGATATGACCATAAATTCATTTGACTTGACATGAAATCTAATATGTTTTAGTGTAAGATGACAAGAAGCCCACGTAAACGAAATGCATAAAAATTCAGTTAACACTAAGAATCAAGCAAGAGAAGGTATAAGTTAATATTCATTGATCAGTCAAAATAAATATATCAGCCTTATAGGAAGTCACTCACGACCGTGTGAAACTATCCTTAAGTCACAAGGATTGTTACAAATGTAGCTCATTTCAATTGATACTGTCTATTTTTAACTTGAATCAACTGAGAATCCATAACATTTAACTCATGAATCAGACGAAATTCATTATCAATGGACCAATCAATCAGATTATGTCTTTAAATGATAAATATCATGTGTTTTGTTTTTCAGCAGGCATAAAATAGATTCTACTTCATGCTGTTTCATATAATTAGCCTTAGTATATCATTGATATTTAGAGCACAGACATTACATCTAGATATGGCACTTCATTTGTATTGGTTGCTTGACTCATCCTAACCATTGATGTGATAGGACTGGAATTGATCAGTCTCATTTGAAATATGAACATTCTATGCGGACTGTGTCAATATTGCCTTTAAGATTACAAGTACTATTGCTAGCCATTATCCACCACTGATAATAATGCTCTTAGATATGATAAATTTGACAGTGGAACTAGAAAGTGATCAATGTGTGTTGTTCAGAATTCATATAGACCAAAATGAATATTGAACAAAAATGTTTAAATTGAATTATCTGACCTGTATAGATGATTTATTAACTGTTTTAAATTTCGGTTATTTCAAATGATGTTGAATAACTCTGATCAGTGGATAATAATCAATATAAATCATGTTTGTTTGAATATGAACTCTTTATGATCGCAAATTTAAAATCTAGTAGTGTTGACATTGTACATAGTTTTTTCGAGTTTTTATACATGAAGTAATGTTTAATAACTTAATAAAAGTTGTAAAATTACAATTGTGTACCTCTGTATTGAATGAAATTCAAGATCTGTTAATTTACTCTTAAATTAGATGATGAGAATGGCAATCATATACATTTTTTTCAATTAGAGTTATGTAGATCAGTGTTTGTACACGTTGAAATCATCAATCAGTTAGATCACTATTAGAAACCTAGAAGTAATGAACGACCGCTATTTCGATCTGGTATAGGAATCATCAGCAGTGCACATCCATGACTTCTGCACCTCGCAAGATCCGAATCTATGGTCTTCGTTCTTGCGCGAGAATGCTTAACCTCTGAACCACTGGTCCGGTATCCATTCACATATGTATACACACTTGGTTCGTGTTGAATTCATAAATCGAATAACTGTCACAGCTATACTGTCCAGCTTATGGATTCTGAAGTGAATTTTAAGGCTTCTGTTGTTTTAAATGGCCATGGGCTTCACAGGATTCGAACCGTGAACCTTCGGTCTTGAGCGCGGATGCCTAACTTCTAGACCACTAGACCGGTATCCAACTACGTATGTATACACACTTAGTGAATGTTGATTCTTTTTTATAGAAAGTTTGATTAGTCTTTAAACTGATTCCTATATAATTATTTATTTTCTTTCTAGATATTCGCTTTGGTATTTTTAGCAGTATTAGAAAGTGGTATACTCTATACTATACTATCACAATGGTTAACCCATTTAGAAGTTGGCGTAACATTTGCTGTACAAATGTTTCAACCTGGTTTTGAAGATCAAACAGTTATGGCAAATATACAAGAAGCTCTGCATTGTTGTGGCAGAGGATGTAAGTTTTGCTTTATGATTTAACTGAATCTAACTATTCTTATGTGATTTCTTTGTTGTTTAAAACTGAAATTCCATTAGTTTTTGTTTTGATTGTTAATTTTTTGTAAACAAGCTAATTTAGTTGAGGTAGTTAGATAGTACTAATAATTTTGAAGTAAACAGTTCACTTGTAAGCTAAATGTACAAATCTGTAATCAATAAATCAGTTACAATAACTTGATTTGACTAATAATGAGCAATTCTTAAAGTTGGTTAAAAATCACTATACGACCTACTGCGCTTACTTTGAATTATGTTTTTCTGGTTAGCATTTTTTTCAGCTAGTTATTTTTCTACCGGATGGACTAGCTAACCCTCCTCTCTTATCTGGGCTTGGGACTGGCAGTAAGCCCAGAGACGCTCTAGGCAGAGTTTGCTACAATAAAAAACATTTTTATAACTTTTTCGACATCATGATGAATGCAAATATTATAAATTGGTTAAGTAACATAATCATAAAAAAGGTTTATAGTGAAGAAATGCTCAATCTCTTCTTTGTTTTACTGTTTATACACTTGAACTGTTGATATTTATCAGGTATCAATCTATCGAGTCATATGTTGAAGTCGGTATTTTATGGAAAAATACTTATCGTCGATATTTTCGATTTCAAGGTATACAGATTACAAACATTAGTAACAAAAAATGTTCAGTCACTAACTCACATGATAACATGAACGGACAATGTAAGTGTTGACCTGAAAATACAAATGTCTTTCAGTCATGCGAATCAGAAATAGTCAAATCTATCATAATGAACAAAGTGATTAAAATATGGAGTGGAATAGGGAATAAGTCATCTGTAACTCACTCGAATATTGACTAATATGCTGGCTAAATAAAGGAGAATGGTAGTAAAACTTTCTTATGAACACAAAGGATAGATTTATTGAGATAAATCACGATCTTTTCAACTAAATATGAAAGACGTATGCATATAAAGAATGCGATATATATTTAGTGAGATCAAGTTACCGATTTAAAAGGGATTGTTTACATCGACTAAATGTTTCCAGTGTATATTTTATGGATGATTAAATGAAGCATGATCATGAGTATCAACATAACACGCATCAACCAAATCAAATTTGATGGAGACGCCCTCCAAGTGTTGGAAATATGTCACATATATGGACAACATCATTGATAAACAAAAGGGATCTGATACAGACGTGAAGACATGGAATTGCAAAGCAAGGTCAGAATTTCTACAAACAAAAAGCATCTGTGACTTAAATACACTGTCAACTAACATCAAAGTTACAGTTTTCAATACAAATGTCAAAACTGTTCTATTGTATAGACTGGATACTTTGAGAAGTAGGAAATACAAGTATTTATGAATACTTGCCAATGCAAGATTCTGATGATCTGTTGGTCAGACACCATCACAAACAACCTTCTGTGGGTGAGAGTAAACCTGATTTCAGCTAAAGAAGAAATCAGGAACTAGCCCAGGAGGTGAAAAGGACACAGATTGTCTAAATCACCCAAATGCATCACAAGGCAAGGTAGAACAAGAAACACACGGCACCAAGAATGGGAGATAGACATGAAAAAATGAATAACTGGGACAAAGTTCGTTGTGGAGAATGATGGTCGGCGACTTATGTTCCATTAGAGAAAACAGGCGTACACAAGCGATTATCATAATCTTACTCATTTCTGTATTCACTAGAAATATCAAGTTATTTTTGTATACTTCTTATCATCTCATTAACCGTGGTGTTTTTCCCCTCTTTTCTATACTCTTTAACAATAGCTTATGGTGATTACGGTGTGGCGAATGAAGCAATACCTAAACATCATGTACCATATTCATGTTGTGATTTACAAACTTATACAAGTGCACAATGTAATAATGCTTCAAAATTGACTAAAAACAAACTCACCAATTTAATGACACAATCATCATCATCATCACCTGAAATCAATAATCTTCCTTATGTTATTCCATATAATCTGGCTTATCCGGAAGGTTGTGTAAATCGGCTGAAAAAATTATTTTTACCAGTAGTAATTGGTTGTTTTTGTTTTTTAATCTCAATGAATATTTTTGCAACATTTGTAAATTGTTTTTATGTACAAAAAGCTGCAGATGAAGAAGAATATGAACAAACTTGGCTTGATTCAAAAAGTTTTATCAAAGAAACTAAAGGTTAGTTATTATAAGAAAATATTAATAAGAATCATACCATTTATTATAAAGTTATGGAGATTGTTGTTTTTGATTGAAATCATGAATCGATAAATGTTATGCCATTACTAGAAACCATGAAGCACTGGAGAGCTGTTTAGTCCTAGTATCAGACTCACGAGCAGCAAAGCGCATCCCTGACCTCCGCTTTCGGGACTCTAACTCAGGACATTCGTTCTGTTGCGATAATGCTTAACCTGTAGATCACTGAACCGGCATCCAACACTGGTAATATCTAACTATGATCGGTTTAGGATTCTGCACAGCCTCACTCACTGTCTTCGGTAGGTAAATGCCTACATTCGACAGGGCTGAACTCTACTGGTTACGTCTTTCCACTAGAAC